GTAATTTTGGACAAAATTTAGGTCACTTTGGACAAATTGAGTCGTCTTGCATAACATTCGAGGCATTTTGGACAAATTTTTGTGTGATTCTAAAGAAATGTTCTGCATTTTCTGATAATTAACAACTATTTTAGGGTGAAACACATCTGAGTTCTGGTAGAACCTGACCCCAGATCAGTTCTACATCCATCCAGGTGTCACAGCGTAAAGACAGAAACACATTCTGAGGCGTTCTGGATCAGTCTGATTAACACTGAACAACTTTAATGTCATTTTAAAGAAGATTTTTATTTTTATTTTTTTAAAATAATTTCAACAATTTTCAAGCAATTTTGACAAATCTATGACGGATGAGAAGCGATTTTGTGTTCTGTTAAAAAAACAAAACAAACCCTTAAAACCAAATCAGTTTCATTTATTTCAGGTTTCACATCAAAAGCACCGAACACGTGGACCGACTTCCAGACCTTCTGGACAAATGTTAAGAATTTTGGACAACTTTCATTTTACTTTAGAAAATAAAAACGCATTTTTTGGAACAATTTTAACGTCATTTTAATGTAATTTTCAACACTTTGTGAGTCAATTTGCACCGTTTTTATAAGTTTTATGAGATTTTAAGAAGTTTCTGATCATCTTCTGTAACTCTGGACGACATTTAAGGTTTTTTTTTATTTAATTTTTTTAATTTATTTTTTTTTAACACTGGACCAGAATAAGCTCCTGTCAGCACCAGGAGTCCTTCTCTCCACAGTTACACCTGAAGCATGAAGTCTGTGGAGAAAAAAACTCAAATAAATACGTAAAACTCTCTCACATGAAGTTATTATATTATAGTTATTTATTATATTTTAATGAAGTCAGAGGAAAGACTCCTGAACATCTGGATCTGAACATCTGGTCACATGTTGGGGAGTAAAACCCTCATTAGAGGACGTGTTGGTGCGTCTAAATTAATCTAGTTTTAGCTTAACTCACATGTCAGTTTGCAGTGGATGTAAAATAGTAGAAAACAAACTGAATGAGGTATAAACCGTAAACATAAACCGTCCCTTCAATGTGATATCAGTGAGTCTGAACAGCACTTCTGTCTCATTTCTAAGCTTTTTAAGTTTTGTTTTGTGACGTTAAGCAACACGTCAGGAGAGTTTTCTGGTCTAAAACCTGCTTTTTGTGACACCAGGCTGCTCTTTTGTTCTCTTGATGCTGAAATGTTGAAAAAAACAAAACCTTTAAAAGTGCAGATATTTATTAGACTCCTGAACAACTGGAAGCCTTTTGGTTTGTAATAGACGTGAAACTGTTTTGTGAGTTTGGCAGCACCGTGGGATTGTGTATAAATATCCCACAGCTGGTGTCATTTCTACGTTTTTTAGGCTTTTCTTGTCATTTCATGGCGTGAAATCCTCCTTTCTGGTCTAAAACCTGCTTTTTCTGACACCAGGCTGCTGATTTTGCTCTCTGTGGTGATTTTGGAGCCAAATCGTTGGTAAAATGTAAGAAAACAGACGTGATTAATGCGACTGAGAGCAGCTCAGATGGTTCCGAAGCGAGCAGGTTGGTCCTAGAGCAGCTCTGAACCAGAAACGGGCTCTAATGGACCAGACGGCTGCTCATGAGTCAGACCAGAACTGGACCATCCTCGGCTCTTTATCTCCTCCAGATTCCTCGCTGCATTCCTCGGCTCTGATAAAAACCAACATGTTTTCTCTCAGCCTCTGTCTCTCTGCAGCTACTTCAGGTTTTCTTCATTTTTCTTCGTCCTGGTTTTTATGGAAACGTGAAAACAAAGCGCTTTAGAGCTCCGAGCAGGCGGACGGATGGCCGCCCAGATGGATCAGGACAGATACTGCCGTGTTTCTTTAGTGAACTTTTATCGTAAGTTTAGCCAAAGTGTTGGTGTAAATCAGGCGACGTGTCCGATTCCCTGGGTGGAAATCCCCTGAAACTCCCCAGAGCGCCGGTGCTCCATCTCAGCTGTCGGACGAGGCCTCGGCGCCCATCCCTCTGTCCGGGCTTCGCCGTTTCATCTCTCGGCTCTTTGAAGCCTCGAAGCTGCTCAGTGTTTGGGCCTCGAGGGCTTTCAGTCGCTCGGAGGAAACGTGGACGAGAAGGACGAGGCAGAGAGTCCATCAGAACCGTCAGAACCATCAGAACACGAGCTGACTGTGTTCAGGAGTCCAGAAGATATGGACTTTATTGGAATTAAAAACACAAAATGATTATAAAAAAGAGTTTTAACTGTAATTTCTTGAACCATTTATTTTTCTCTCTTGTTAAATTATAAATATTAATCAGTCGAGTCACAAGTTAACAGTAAATGTTCAACTTTGTCCTCATCAAAGATCAGCTTTTAATTTTAATAAATGGCAGTTTGTTGTTTCCATAATGTTGTTACCCAACAGGTACGTCTGAAAATATAAGATTGGAAGAAAAGTACAGAAATATTTTCCCTGTTTTGTTAAATTACAAATAATTTTAAAAAATAAAAAGTTGCAGAAAACTTTTGTTTTGGTTTACAAGTTAATTGTAAACAAAGCAAACATGTGGCTGCTCTGTGACCTGTTTACATCTGAATATCTGTGTCATTACCCCACAGATGTGTTTGTAGGACAGTTTATAAAGCAGGACGCTGCTGTTGTCGTGGTTCGAGGACGTTCAGCTTCTGGTTCGGCTCGGCTCCGTTTGTTCTGAGGATCCGGAGACGAGTGGCT